CCAGAATCCTTGCCTCCAAGGAGCAGCCTGGTTTAACCCTCTCTAGAATGAATCTGTTTGTTTTCTTGGCAGTCCATGGTACATTCAATACTCTCCTCCAGCACCACAGCTCAAAGGTGTCAATTCTCCTTCTATCCTCCCTAGTCACTGTCCAACTCTCTGATGCATAACAAGTGATTGCAAAACCCATGGCCTGTATCAGGCGCAACTTAGTCTCCAGAGAGACACCGTTGCTCTTGAGTACTTTAGAGAGGTCCCTAACCACAGACTTCCCCACCACAATACGTTTTTTGATTTCCTGGCTGCTGGTGCCAAGAATGTTGACCATGGAGCCGAGCAAACATAGGATCACACAATTTGATGGGTGGAGGGAGGGATGAGGAAAGGAAAGAAGAAAGATTCAGTGTGAAAAACAATGCATATGAACTTTATGAACTTTGTATGTAAATCAGTATAAAATAAAAAAAAAAGGTAGAGTCTTAAATACCTGAGGGGAGAGGACTCTTAAGAGCTGTGCTCCACTAGAAGGCAATGCATATTTGGTTCCAGCAAGTTAAGAAATGAGAGAAGCTCTTACCATGCTCAGATTTAGGAACAAGCTTATAGACTGCAATTCAATCATGTTTATCGTAGAAAATGTCAGTCAAGGTGATGGGTAAACCTACTAGATTAAGTACTAGATGCCCAGCCAATTTTATTTCAGGTATTTTTTATGGCTAAATTTGTCCCAGGCACTACTTGGGTACATATAATTAAAAAAAAACAAACACAAAACCAACTGCTGTTTATCGGAAATTTAAATTCAACTGGTGCTCTGGTTTGTATTCTGTTTTTGGTTTTTTTTTTCCTGCTCAATCTTCCATTCCCAGTGAGAAATACCCACCAAATAAATGTGGATCCATACTTAACCAGAATGGGGAAAGGGAAAGGGTGTGAATCTAAAAGCATGTGAAAATCCAAAATCTCTTTCATGGACCTTAGAATCTTTTCCTATTTCTTTGATCCTGTGAAGCAGAGTGCATCTTGTAGAGCACCATTGAGTCAGAACCAACTCACAGCTGACCTTCCGGACAGTTTTAAGAGGCATTACAATGCACAGAAGCCTGCTGTGTTTCTCCCACAGAGCAACCTGTGTATTTGAACATTCGAACTACATACCTTTGAGTTGGCAGTGCAATTCTTTACCACTATGCTGCCAGAGAAGGCACTTCTAGGGAAGGGAGCTACGAGCTGGAGCCAAAATCACCATTTAAGTGTAGGTTGTGGGTGGGCAGTGGAGACATAAAAGTGTATGTCATAGCATAGGAGCGAGAAAGAGATGGAAGTTTTGCTTCAATGTAAGAGAACAAATGTATTTTTTTAGTGCTGTGTATTATGTATTTTAAATTTTAAAAAAAGCACCTTTTAGTGAAGATCACTGTTGCTGTTGTTATGTGCCATTGAGTTGTCTGCCACTCATAGCAACCTTTTGTACAACAGCCCTAAACCCTGCTCTATCCCTTGCCAATCTTACTGTCTCTGACACCCCTGCCCCAATTATCCCAGTCACTGAATCAATCCACCTCACCAAGGGTCTTTCTCTCTCGCACCGTCTCTCCACCCTCCCAAGCATGATGTCCCTCTCCAAGGACTGATCCCTCCTGGCAACATGTCTAAAGTATGTCAGATGAAGCCTCAGTATCCTTGCCTCCAAGGAGCAGCCTGGCTTCACCCTCTCCAGGATGAACCTGTTTGTTCTCCTTAGTATGGTATGGTATATTCAACACTCTTCTCCAACACCACAGCTCAAAGGCATCAATTCTCCTATCATCCCTAGTCATTGTCCAGCTCTCTGATGCATATCAAGTGATTGCAAAGACCATGGCTGACTTATTTAAAAAAACAACAACAAACCTAAACAAAACAGAAACAGAACAATGTGAAAAAAATCCAACCGTTCCCCCCTTTTATCTTTAGCTTTATCATCATTACACTTGTGGTTTTTTTTTTCTCCCCTACACTTGTTTTTTAGGCCCTAGACTTTTAACTGCATCTCTTAAGAGTCTGTGAGAGTCTCTGTGTTGTTTTTCTCCCCAGTTAGAAAGCAGCAACCAGATCTCCATGGCACAAGACAGAAAAGATGCCAACATCAGGACCAGATAAGCAGCCCTGACCAGTGTGCACTGACCAGTAACCCAAGGATCAAGCATTAGAAGTACCCCACTGCCATCCATTGTAGGATTACTAAGAACATACAAAAAGTCTCCTCTGTGATAGACAAAGAAATATATCTTCCTTGAAAATACAAAAGGAACACGTATACTCTAAGTGGATACAAACACCTCAACATCTTGTAGGCAAAGTACTTCTGAGTTTTCAATAGACTAACTCAAGGTCTACTTTATCATCTTACGTGATAGAAATGTGTCCATTCCTCCGGATGTATTGAGTACTTCCTGTTGGCTAGCCAAAGGCTTTAGAATGAAACAGAATAATAACAGGAAGAAAAGAAGAAGAGATGACTCAAATATAAAAAAAAATTGCAAAGTCCACATCTGGGGTGCAGACAACGGAAATATCAAGGAATACTCAGGTACCTTGTTCTGTCATATGTAGACACTCAAAAGATTCTTTGATCAGAAAATACTTTTCCTTGAGAGTATTTGAGTTCCTTCGATTTAGGCAGATAACGATCATTAAGAAGAAAACTTCCAGATTTGAGAAAAGGACTGGCTTTTTGAAGGAGAACTGAATTTCTTAGTAAAGGATTCCCCACCTGGGTCTCCTTCTCAGAGTGGTAATTCTAAGACATTCTGCTTAGAATATTCAGGCCACACAGATGCTATCATGTTTATTTAAGGCATAAGAACCTAGAAGCACATACATTTATGGATAGAGAGGCTTGGGGAAAAGACTATGAAGCAAATGCCATCCTTGGAACCTTCTCTAAGAAGTCAGTATAAAACACTTCCTTTAAAATAAAATCACATTCAAATGAAACCAACTGGCAAAGAGCTTCTTCCCCTCAATGAAACAATAGTAGTGCCTGTCCTGAAATGGTCTCAAACGTTCGCCTCTTTGGTGACTGCCATCGGACTGACAATTCTCCAAGCCAGCGAAACAAGCAGTAAGAAAAATGCTGATGCCAGCTCCATTTCTAAGACAGTTGTGTGCTATATTTATAGTATCAACAGTTTAATTGGGAAGTTCGGTGCTAATGATGTAAACACAGCTGGCACATTTTCAATTTAAATAGACGGGGCTCATTCGCAGGCATAACTAGCATTTGTTTGTTCAACAGTGAGGCTCGGGTGACGTCTCGGAATCCATGCACGGTGTCTCGAGAGCTGTAGCAAGAGCCAACTCCGGAAGCTTACAGGCACGCACTTGGGCAAATATGTACCCAGAGCTTTGAGACATGCTCAGATCAAATAATATTTCTGTGGAAAACTGAAGGGTGTTCAACGGCAACAGCATAAAACATGAAAGTAAAGGTTAGTTCAAAGAATGTGCGTAGGGGCTAAAAGAGGCATCAACCTCGTTTGTCTTTGGGTCTGCTGCATGTGTGGAATGCAGAGTTGGGAGGAGGCCCTGCATCTTGTCCAAAGAAAAGGCTTTGCTTACCCATAACAAGAGAGTGGATGGAACGTTCACCTTGGCATTGAAGGTGTAGCAATGCTCAGCTCTATTTTATTATAAGAAGGTGGTTGGGATTTCTGCATGAACTAAATGTCTTGAAGTCTTTGTAATCACTTGTTACGCGTCAGAGAGTTGGACAATGACTAAGGAGGATAGAAGGAGAATTGATGCCTTTGAGCTATGGTGTTGGAGAAGAGTATTGAGG